GGCTCCACACAGTGTAGTTATTGGAGCCAGTCAAGATTTGAGGAACCAAAGTAACAGCTTGAGTGTCGGAAGGGTGAAGGTACAAAGGGTGGTTGATGTCTATAATGGATTTCGAAGAGGCCATCAGAGGGATGTTTTTCTTTTTGACTACTAAGGGAAGATGAAGCAAGTGAGGAAGGAAAAAAAAAACAGGGAGAGGTTGCTGGAATAAAAGATTGAAGGAAATAAAACCGTATACAAGGAGATTTGTGTGTGCCTCAAACAGCTTGAAGACGCAGACTCGGGCAGGCAATAATCCACAAATCTTGCAGCAAGAAAATCACGATGGTAGAGAAATTGAGAGTTACAGCAACAAATGATTGCAATCTGACTGAAATCAAGAGAATCACGGTCTGCCGTAAGCTAAAGGGAGCAAAGTCGCTCTTGGAAGCGTGAACAGAGAAGTTAAATCTTGCAATCACGATCACGTTGAAGACGAGAACCAAGAACGTCAGAATCCGGGTGTCACGCTAATTTGATACGGAATAGAGAACAGAGTCTTTGCACAGCATGGCAAGATGCTAGGACTTTAATGATGATGCGCGTGGTGCTCTCTAGAAGAACCAAGAACATTGGCCTTTTGGAATGCACATCAAAACGACATATTAGTGGACCACTGATCGCTTTTGGTTGAAACCCCTTCTTGGGCTCAATCACCACCAAGACTTTAGCGATCCAGGATACCCAACCTGCGCTCTGGTACCATGAGAACCTGAGAGCACAACCCAGAATTGAATAATCCGGTCAACTAGAATTGACCGACAGACCTTATATTTATAATCCAGATGCAAGTATACAAGAGTTCAAAGGTACACGTGTGTGGGCCTAAGTTCAATATATGAAAGCCCACTATGAAAAACACATGTGTTATTCTAACACTATCCTTTCCCCAACATGGATGCCAGGCTTCAAAGAATTCCTAGACGATTGCAGCTGGATTCTCAAATTAAACTACCCGAGGAATCCTCGAAGGGAAACACTCAACAGTAAGTTGAGAACCTATTTGCGCTACTTGGGTTACCATAACGACACTTTGAATTCCGATGTCCAATCAGCCTTACGAGACTTTCAGAAGACTTACGGACTCCCCGCCACCGGTCAGATTGACGGCGGCACCGTTTCACTCATCCGCCAGAAGCGATGCGGCGTTCCTGATTATTGGAATCGCCATATGTCGGAGGACGGCACGACGTCATTTCAATGGTTGTGGCCGAAGAATAAGAGAGAGTTCACCTATGCTTTTTCACCTGATAATCGTTTGCCGATCTGGATGAAGAATACGTTTTTCAACGCCTTCTCCCAGTGGTCGAAGCTGACGGGGTTGCACTTCACAGAGACGCAGTGGGTGAACAGTCCTGACATTTCAATCGAGTTCTTGAAGTTGGACGATAGGCGGGGGTGATCGGCACCGCCTTGTTTGGACGGAACATTCCGAGGCCCGGCATCTATTTGGACTCCTCTGAGAGGTGGGTGTCGCCGGCATCCCCCATGACGGATCCCTTCCAAGTGGACTTACGGTCCGTGGCGTTGCACCAAAATCGGACACATGCTGGGATTTGGCCATACGAAAATGCGCAATGCGGTGATGTACCCGTTCAATGCTGGGGAAAGGAAGGTTTTCAGACAAGAAGAATCTGATAACATTAAGAACATCTTCGCCGCAGCAGGCGGCGGCGTGAGGCCGGGATGGGGACTGGTTCCAACTTTATGGCCTGGAATAACTGCATTTGCATTGCTTAATTAGCATAAAATCTGAATGAATGAAGCCCAACTGTTGAGTACCATAATCCTGATCTGTGAGTTGTTCTACTCCCATCAATTAGCGCTATGATCTTCGTCAAATGTGTTTTGCTTTGCTGCTTCTTGCCAGTAATAAAGGGCTTTTTAAAAGTTTTTATGCCATCTCTCCCAGTTTTTTTAAATTTACTTTTTTACACGGCGAGATAGAAATTTTAAGAGAGTCTATTGAGGGTTCGAAATAGAGGATTGGAAATTACTGAAGTTGAGGATGCTGAAGATGACAAACACCCTACAAGAAACTTCAGGCGACGCTGATGATTTAAATAGATCCCAAATCTCCAGACAAGTCAAAAGCAATCCACAAGAAGGATCTAATACTTTTCGCACCTTTCCATCCCCAGATTTTTTTTCAAATAAACATACCCGTACAAATTTGCGATTTTCTCCTTTTTTTTTTTTAATTTCTATTTCAGTTGCATACCACAATTGTCAAGGGCATTAAATTTACATTTTCGATGGTGTCACTATTGATATGTATATCTGACAACCAATACATCGGGATTTCAATTACAAAATGGCCTACTTATGTAATTGTTTCAAGTAAAAAAAAAAAGGAATTATTTGGTACTCTTCAAAAAATATGAAAAAGAATTAGCAAACGAGAAAAAAAATTGAAGAAGCAACGAAAATGGCAAAAAAGGATTGGAGGGAGGGAGCGAGCGGAGGGAGCAAGACTGGTGTCTTGCGGACCGTAGGCTGCCTAGGAATACGTGACTGGAGAGAGCAAAGGGCTCTTTTACGGAAATGTTATAAACAGTAAAATAAAATATCAAAATGTTACCTGATAAAAAATATTTGCTCTTTGTGTCGGATTCCCACATTTTCTCAAAATAATTCTATAAAATTATTCTGTAAAATAATTTTTTAAAAAAATCTGGATAATTATTCTAAAAATTATATTTGAAAATAAAAATACCAATATCGATGACGAAACTTCAATGAGAACTCAAGCCCTTTCTTCTTTGTGAATATTTTAGTTCATAAAAGAAAATAAAAGTAGTGAAAAATAATTTGAAATGTCAAAAATGTCTATTTTATTTTATTTTCTGTTTATTCTCTTTTGCGCTTCTCTCTTCCACGAACCCAAAGGCAACAGTGTTTGGAGCTGGATTTTGAATCTCAAAGCTTGATCGGGTGCTGCACCAATTCATAGCAGAAAATAAAGAAAATACTAGGTTTTTTTTACGCCAGATGTCCACTATTAAACATAAAAAACCGTATTTGCTTTATTTCTATTTTTTATTATTTCTTTTTTGTTTTTTTGGAAAATGAGGAAGTCCTTTCTTCTTCTCTCGATGGCTTGTCCTCTGTTTGAGGACTTGAGTTCTCATCTAAGTTTCGCCCTTTGATCTTGGTATTTTTATTTTCAAATGCAATTTTTTAGAATAATTATCCAGATTTTTTTTCTAAAACTTATTTTTAAAAATTTTTTATAAAACTATTTTGATAATAAAAAATAAAAAGTAGAAACAAACAGGCCGTATATTTTAAGAAAAATAGCAGGAATATGATTGAAAATCGAAAATAGTGATATTTATTAGTATTATGTTGAATTTAATAAAATTATTTCATTAAATTGGTTGGCAATTTTTTTTTGGGTTTAAAAGTGGGAATTTAGCGTAAAGAAAATAAACACATATGCTGTATGCACAGGGAAGCCCTTGCCACTGAAGTTCCCGCGTCATTACATCATATCCAGCAAATCAGTGAAGAAATGGACAGACTGCCCATTTCTAATGTGCCATCCAGTGCCTTGCTCAATGAGTTTTCCCTGCTCACAAATGAATTTCCACATATTCGCATCCACAGGTTTAGTATTAAGTAAATTCTCTTCACTTCTGTGTTACAAACACAACTGTACAAATTTTTCGGATTATGAACTGATTTGTTACCAATTAGACTAAGTCCTGTTAACTACCCATAAGTTTAGGAACTGTTGATATCCTGATTTTGTAGAAGAGCTTCTTAACTGGGTATCCTTTTCCTATTTTTAATAAATTGATCTCATACATATAATAAAAAAAATACTATCTCTTGTTCTTAAGATAAAAACTAGTTATAAGGTTAGTTTGCTATTAAATATAAGATTTTAATATATTTGTCTTCCAAACTTATAGCTTTTTTTTCTTCAAAATTTCTTTATTAATTGTAAAAAAAATTTCTAGAAACGGTAATTTCAATACATATAATTAAAGAGAATAATTTAGAAAACCAATACATTTAATTATTATAAATTTTTTTTAATTTTTTTAAATTATTTATCTAACTCTTATATTAAAAATAAAATTATTATTTTTTTAACATATTTTTCATGGTTATGCCAAAGTAGTAATATTTAATCGTTGGCCAAATAAAATAATATACAAAAATACAAAGTTATATGCATCGTTGTCACGATGCATAGCTTCCGAAACTTTCCCTGTTTTTCTGTTGGCAAATTGGCATACAAATGTGACATTACATTGGTGCCCATGACAAAGTTCTCGTCAATTATGTAGGTCACTTTGCTTTCCCAATTAAATAAGGCTAACCACAATATTTTATAGACATACATATACATATAAGGATCTTTTTTTGTTTGGACCTTCCCCTCCTCCACTAATGAAAATTACTACTACCTCCAGTCCTAATTATAAAACCCGGTTGACTTATTTGATGAGATTAAGGAAGTAAGTTAAGTTAATTATTTGTAATAAATAAGTGTTGTCATTTCTAAAATATCCTTGTTAATTAAGTATATTGGCTAGAACTATCATTATTAGAAGGATTATCTTGGAAAAAATGCATAAATATAAGAGACAAAATGGATTGGGGTCTTATAATTAGGACCAAACAAAAAGTCAAACAGGATCTTATAATAAGGACCGGAGGTAGTATATAATATTTTAAATTAAAGTAAATCTTTTAATTAATTAATTTTTGTAATTTGCATATAAAATCAGATGAACTATTTTATTACACAAAAGTAGAAAAACAAAATGATTGCCTTCTTTTCCACTTTACAGTGCGAGCGTAGTATTTTTAAGGAATTCCGTTGACGGTAAAGCAAGTCCACCACGAAGTCACATAGAAATTATCGTTTACCAGGTTTTTTAAAAGCCAGACTCGAATTCCCTCTCCTCCCACAGCAAGCACATCAACTTCAAAGGATCTGAGAAAAAATGAGAGTGAGAAAAGCTTACATTGCGGTCTTGATTTTATCCCTTCTAATCGTTGATGAATCTTCCCCGTTTCTTCTCCGACCAGCTTCAGCTCATTCCTTGTTCAGTAAATCGTTGTGGCTCGGAATATTCAAACCCCTCAGAACACTCAATCTTGGCAAAATTTCCAAAGCATTGGACAAATTGAGATCATTCTTGCATTCCAAGGGTGGTCGAATTGCAATAGGAGTCGTCGTGGAAGGCCTATCGATTGTTAAAGACTATTTCGGTTTGTTCGGCTTCCTGGATTCCGCTTTGAATGCAAATTCCACCGATGAATTCACCGCCGATCTCGAATCAGCAATCGAATTCTTTCAAAAGACTTTCCTCCTCAACGTCACCGGCCAGCCCGACAACTCCACCATGTCAATGATCACGCTGCCGAGATGTGGCCTTCCTGATGTTATAAATGTCTCCTCCACCTCAACGGCGAATCACACGACGTCGTTTGCCAAGTGGTGGTCCGAAGGGAAGAAAGAGCTTACTTACGCTTTTTCACCTCAAAACGAAACAGGGATCTTTATGAGGGATCTGTTCGCAGGCGCCTTCCGCCGGTGGTCGGAGGTGACGAGATTGAACTTCACAGAGACGACGTCATTTAACGAATCTGATATTCAAATCACGTTCTCGTCGGTGGACGGGAATCTAGGAGTGGTAGGCGGCGCCTGGGTGGATAATACGACGAGGAACTGGGATGTCGTTTTGGACTCCGATGAGAAGTGGGTGTTTCCGAGCGAGAACATGACGGGCGACAACGAACTGGATCTGGAATCGGTGGCGATGCACCAGATCGGGCACGTGCTGGGACTGAACCACTCGGCGATGCAAGGGGCGGTCATGTACCCTTTCTTTGTGCCATCGAAGAACAACAGGAAGGTGGATTTCGCGAAAGATGATTTGGACAAGATTCGGCAACTCTACAGCACGAAATCCAAGTCCAATTCCAGTGAGAGCGAGTTAGCACCGGTGCAGTCTCCGTCGTCGGAAGACGGAGGAGTCACCGGCGTGGGGCCCAGATGGGGCCTGGTTTCAACTTTATGGCTCGGAATGATCTGGCTTTTCTGGTTCTGACTAATGAAACCTGACCCTAGAGACTTTCTGTTTTTTTTTTTTTTGGTTGACCCAGAATATCCTAGAGACTTGAGTACCATAATTCTATGTTGCTGGACCTATCAGTATAATACACGTGTTCAAAACTGGGGTCACCGTACTTGGTTCTTTTTTTTCCATTTGTTTTTCTTTTTTGCTTTTCTTCCTTTTTCGAGCGACTGTTACTTTTGTAGTTAATTATTTATTGCTTTTTAATATTTTTCTTGGTACTTTTCCAATTTTCTGTCTTTAATAAATATAAGTGTTAGTTAATTAATTTAGATAAATTTAAAAAATTTAAAAAATTTAAAAAATTATTTAATTTTAACAAATGTAACATAACCTGTCTAAAACAGCCTATATAACATTAAATTATACATCAGATTATAAATTAAATAACTTAGTTTGAAAAAAGTGATTTAAATATAAAAAATTAAATGGATTAAGATCTTATACCTAATCCTTATCTAATTCTTAATTTTAGATATACTTTATAATATAATTTGTACTGTAAAATAGGTCTTATCTTAATAATTAGATGGAGTAATAGAATTCCGTTCCTAACTAACTTATATTTGGGGTTGTAAGATTAATATATTATGGTTTTATTTTATCTCGGGGAAAATATCAAATAGATTATGGTTATTTCTATAATTAAAGAACTGAATTAATAACAATAAAAATTTACAAAGAGAAATCCCCTAGGATAATTTATATAATTTGTGAGGAAGTACATGTTAGTTTTTACTTTGAAAAGTATTAATCAAAATAACTATTGTTGAGAGAAATGCTGATATTTAGTTTTAGATGATATCACAGCTTGTTTTTTTTTCCCCCCATTTGTTTTCTTTTTGCTTTTCTCCTTTCTTTTGCCATCTCTTTTTGCCCCTTTCTGAGTCAGCGTTAATTTTGCATTTGGTTCTTTATCGATAATATTATGGTTGCTTTTTTGTACTTCTGTTACTACTTTCCCAATTTTTTTGTATAAAAATTATTTAATTAATTTGAATAAATTAGGAAGTATAAATAAATTATTTAATTTTAATAAATATGATAAGATCTCCCTAAAATAATCTATGTACCATTAAATTATATGTTAATTTATAAGTTAACTTTTTTTATACTAATTTATAAGCTAAATAACTTAGTTTGAAAAAATGTTATAAAGTTGAGAGATTAAATAGATTAATTTATTACATTTAAAATCAAAATCAACTCCCTAATTAACATATTTTTGGGATTAGAAGAGTAATATATTATGGTTTTATCTCGGAAAAATATTAAATATATTATGGTTGTTTCTAATATTGAAGAACTGAATTAATAACAATACAAAATTACAAAGAGAAAACCCTTATGATAATTATATAATTTTTTAAAAAGTAAGTGTTAGTTTTTACTTTGAATGTTGCTTGTCTATTAATCAAAATACCAAAATATAAACTTAAAAATGCTAAATTGGTCCTCAAAATTTTGCTCCCACAATACCATAGGAATTTGGGTTTTGGAGGGAATTTAGTATTTTTTTAATTTTTATTTTTGTTATATTTTTTTAGACAATTATAATTATTAAGATCCTTTGTAATATATATTATTTATTTTGCACTTTTCTCTCTAATTTCCCCCCTAATTTTAATTAATTTTTCATGCGTAGGACTTTTTTTTTTTTTTTGCCAACAAGAAGTCAATATTATTAAAGACAGAAACAGAGTCAAAAACAACAAACAAAGCCTGTTTCAACGTAAAAAGCCAACCAACAAAAAACAAAACAGCTAATACAATACTAGCCAATCCCACACCTATCACTATTACACAAAAAAGAAACAAATAGTCATTGCAAGGTTTCTTCCTACCTCAGGGTTGTTCTCCAAAAGCCAAGCCAGAGAGTGTGCCAGCAAGTCTACCCACCTTACAAAATACATCTCTTTGCCATGCTTCACAACAAATGAACTAGCCGCCTCAAAACTCCTCAACTCAACTAAGGCAGAAATAACATAACAAAAAATGGCAATATAATAATGCCAAAGAAATAAGCAAACATCAAAACAACATAAAAGCTCATGAGGACACTTTGTAGCTTAATATTGTAATGGCTAAATCTTGATGGTTTACGAACTAAGAAAAAAGCCAGGGGGTGGTAATCCTAATATTTGCTCCGCAAAAGAGCCCAACCCCTTGATCACCAGAGCTGCTTTAACCATTGAAGCTTTCAAACTCTCACCTAAAGCGAGAAAAGAGGAAAATCTCTGGAAAACTACATGAACTTTCATGAGATTATATAATCATCTAGAATTAAGCCAAACAAATGTTTAGCCACAACACAATCCATCTTTTACTCCCGTTTCAGTATAAGCTCCTTAGTTATAAACTCTGACAATACTGAAACAAACATGATTAACTTCCTAGCGGCACCCATCTCTTATCATCTTTTACCTTACTACCAATTCTTTTGGTGTTCATAATCAAATTATCATTCCCATTGAAACACCAGTAGAATAATTCAGATAATGTCCATGGCATCCATCATTCTCAAGTTAATTTCATTGATTCTAACAATATAGATAGTGTCTTTTCACAAGATCACGTTAGCCACTGAAATCTCATGCAAAATCATGTAATATAGGGATAGGCCATACCAGATCAATAAATTGAAAACCAGGTTCAACATTACCTCGCACATCCTATTTAGATTCACCTCATTCTCCATCATATTTGAATTCCACCAACTCTGTTATATGCACAACTTGTAAGAATAGAGAGTGATGAGACTTTTAGATCATCTATTAATCTCCATGGCCAACGAAAAAATCATCATTGCATGATTAAGGATAAGTGCATTGGACGATCATCTTGGTTCAGATTTGCCGATTATCGAAGAAGAAGAGGATGAGGCAAATCATGAAGCTGCTTCCTCCATTAACCAAAATCGTATATCCCCTACCTCGTGCTCATAAACAACTGTTGTAAAATTCTTCCAACTTAGATCCTCTTCGCTAATTCTCAATCGCTTCTTCAGAATCATAGAACTCACCATTATCTCTGAATTCTTTTCAACTTTCGCAACTAATCTCAGCTTTAGGTACATACTCTCACCAACAAGCATCTCTAATGCACTCACACAGCCAAACATCCTCTCTCTCTATGGTCGCTGGAGAGAGGCGTCGAAAACACCTCTCGCTGGTGGAGAGAAAGAAGCTCACACAAGGAAAACTCTAGGAAAGAAAAAAACCCTCACCGAGGAGGGAGATTTTTTTCATCCGCAAGACTCGCTCAACGAAAGAAGAGGAACGTAGTATAACATTTAACTATTGATAAATCTAATATTTTCAATCGTGTAAAAAAATTCCTTGCAACATAAAAACATGTACATATAATAAAATTTTTGGAAACTCTTGTTCCTCACAGATATGTCTTATTTTCTAAATTTCAAGTAATATAATAAATGAAAAAACATATTTTCCTTAAGGCTTTATTTGGTTCAATGGAGGGGAGGGAATGGGAGGTTAATTAAAGGGAGGGGAGTGGAAGCAAGAAGAGGTTATGAGTGTTGTTTGGTTTGAGGGGAAAAGAAGGAGAGGAAATATTTCATGTTTGGTTTAGGAGGGAAGGAGAGGAGAACTAATTAGAAGTTAACAAATATGTCCATATTTCTTTGGTTAGATTTCTTTATTATTTTACTACAATATTTATATCAAAATTATTATTTTATAATTTATGAATTAAAAAAACAAGTTACGCGACATATATAAAATATTTACATATCTATAAAATATACACATATCATACAAAATATTTTATTATCATTATCAAATATACACATCATAAAGAATATATAATTGTCATGTTATATCAAGAAAAATAGTATAATCATGACAAAAATATTGTATTATTATTATCAAATATCATTATACAATTTCGTGGTATAGATATGAATTCTTTAAAAGTATCAATTTATTTAAAAATAAAATATCTCTATCGATGTCATCTAATTAGATGTTTTTGAAATTATTAAAATCTTACCATTATCAAAAGATTGTAAGAGATTGATTTATTAAAGTCTTACGAAAATAAAATACATTTGAATACCATGTGTTCCCTTGAACTAAAAAATAAATTGCATTATTAACATCAAAAAGCTTAAGAAATAGAAGTAAAAAAGGATTCTTTAATAAAAAAGGTAAATTTGGTATATGCAAAAAGTAATATGGATAATTTAGTTAGAATAAGACACAATATTTCTCTCCCCTCTAAAAAACCCTCAATTTGAAAGGGAGTAGGAGAAGGGGAGGGGAGCACTAAAAGACAAAATTTTTTTCCCTCCCCTCCCCTCTATTTTTCTGAACAAAATACAACTTCTCATCTCCTCCACTCCCCTCTCTTTAAAAACCTCCGAACCAAACAATGCGTAAATGTCTTCATTTAAATATAAGCTAAGCATGTGTTGGTCGTTGACCGAGTTATAAAGTTAACATATCATTTCGATTAATAAATTTTTAAAGTGTTATGTAACCATTTTCAAATTGAAAAGTTCATTACATTAAGGTTTTTGCGGGGAAATCCACCTCCAAAGATTAAGATATTATAGAAAAAGTTATGGAGTCCTAATAAAAATTCGTTTTTAAAATACTCACTTAGACGAGTTAGTAAAGAAATTTATTTTAGTTCTAAATAATGAAAATGGGTATTAAAAAATAACTCACATTTTTTAATAAATAATTAATTTAATTAATTTTTATAATTGAATAATCTAATTTTATATTCAAAACCGGAATATCATATAAGTATATTATGGATTATATTTATGGTCTTCAAAGATGGTTGATATTTTGTCTCTTCAATGATGGTTCAATGACCGATGAATATAAAAGGGTTTAATTATATAATGTATATATTGCATGCGATTGTTAAGTGAGTTTTTTAAAATTAAAAATGTTAAATTCCATTCAAAATCAACTATATCATAAAATATATTAAATATATTA